CCCCCCCCATTAAAAAAGTTCAAAATAAAAAAAACCTATAAATTCCCCTAAAAATCATTCTCTCACACATTTCTCTCTATCTTCTCTCTAAAATATTTATTATTTATTATAAATATTTATAAAATATATTTTAAAAATGGGATCATCTTCATCCGACGATGAAAAAAGAGCTCTCATTTTTCGTTGTTTCGCTATGAGTTGTATTCAATGGTGGGAATAAGGCAAAGAAGAAGAAGCTGAATCCTCCCGACGGCGGACCCGACGACAACGTTTAAACTGGGATCGAGCGGCCGCCCACGCTTCACTTCTATACGACTACTTTAATACTCCGTGTGTTTATACACCGGAGGATTTTAGTAATCGTTTTCAGATGAGTCCTCATCTCTTTTTACGCATACTCGCCGATGTTGAACGCGAGGTTCCTTGGTTCACCCAATGCTTTGATGCAAGAGGCCGACGCGGGTTTAGTAGTGTCCAGGGGCGCTCCGTCAGTTGGCGTACGGGACGACATCTGATATGTTCGACGAATACTGGAAGATGTCGGCTCGGAGCATCAGGTCCTGTGTTTATAGATTTTCTAAAGCTATTATTCAAATTTATCATGAAAGATATTTACGCAAGCCTACAGCGAGCGACATTTAGTAGTTGCAGCCAAGGCATGCCGCTAAACACGGCTTTGTCGGTATGCTTGGGAGTATTGATTGCACGCATTGTGATTGGAAAAATTGTCCCACTGTGTGGCACAGTCAATTCTCCCGGGGAGATCATCCCAAGCCTACTATCATGCTCGAAGTTGTTGTTTCAAATGACTTGTGAATTTGGCACGCTTTTTTCAGTGTCGCGGGCTCGAACAACGACATCAACGTTCTCGATCAATCGCCTATTTTTGACGATTGGATTAATGAGACTGCACCCGACTTGTCTTTTGAGCTTAGAAGGACGCTTTACAAGCGTGGATATTATTGAGCTTACGGGTGCTTAACAAACTGTTTACAACTCGAGAACTTGAATCCCACAAGCCTCGACACAACTGCTCGTAGATATGCCCTCTACAAGACTTCACAACCAAGACTTAAGTCACATAAGTCTTGAACAACAAGAAGAACAATCTTCTTCAACCTCTCAACAATAGTTCTCAAAAGAGTAGAAATGAGAAAATGATTAGCTCTAATGGATGACAAGAAACCTCTCTTAAAAACAAATAGTTTTCTCTCAAAATAATATAAATTTGAGGAAAGATTGATGGAGGATTAACACTTCTAGAATGGGGAGTATTGGAGTGTTTCTTGTATATAAAAAATGACCAAGGAAGTGTGTTTAAATATGAGTTGAAAAATATATCCGTTCGTCCAAGAAAAGAAGCAGTGTTGAAAAAATGTAGCATAAAAATCGATTAATGCAGTGTCAATAATCGATTAATGCATCATAAAAATCGATTAAAGCAGCTGGAAAAATCGATTATCCTTGTGCGGAAATCCATAATCGATTAATACTAAAGGTGTTAATCGATTACTTCCTTCTGGACATGCTAATCGATTAACTCAAATGGGGGTAATCGATTATCCTGTCAATAATGCCCAAACATGAAGAACACAAGCATGTGTGCGAGATGAAGTACAAAAATGGAGCTTATAGGTTGTTTCCAACAAAAGTTTCAGGGGTAAGGCTCCCCATCACCTCAAATATTATTCAAAATTAATTTTGAATAAATGAAAGATATTTGGAGTGTAGAAATTGAGTCCCAAAATTATTTTGTGTGTCAGACGATGAACACGAAAATATTTGAATAAAATATTTTTGCTTTCCAAAAATATTTTCTAATATCAAAATAAATATTTTGATAAATGTTTGACACTCCTTTTGAAACTGACTCAATAAAAGTATTTTGAACAGTTTAAAAGATTTTTCAACTGGCTCCAAAAATAAATATAAAATTTATTTTAACTCTCATAAAATTATTTTTGTAGAGAAGATTATTTTTGTCATCCTTACAATAATTTCTAAGACTCAAATAAATAAAAAGTCTTCGGAAAGTTTCTACTCATTCGAGTCCTCCGTTAGGCGCTCCGAACGCGTTTCGGACTTCAACAAAATCCTGTGCACCTTCTTGAATACTTCAAGGAATGGAACTTCAAGTCTTCGTGTGTGTCGTTGTAGCACTTTGATCTTGACTTGAATAAATTATGTTTGTCAATTATCAAAACCTGTGAGTCAACACTTAACAACACAGAAAGGGTTGAACTCATGCATTCCAACAAATAAGAAATTATTCAAGCCTATGAAAATATTTTTTTAAATTTATTTGATTTAAACAGTTGATCATTTAAAAAATAATCTAGACACTTCTTGTTTTATAGAATACTCCATATTAACTTAGAGCTATTTTTCATTTTATTTTTTATATTAAAATAAATAAAATAATATAATTCATTTAATCATATTACAAACATAAATAAAATTTTATTTTAATTTAATTTACTTAAATCAATTATCATATCCTAAAAGCCAATAAAAATATTATATTTTTACATTTAAATGATAAAGCATCTAAAAGCCTATAAAGTATAAATTTTCTTGTAATTAACTAAAATTATAAAATTAAAATAATTACTTACAAAATTATGTATAGTAATCTTTTTTATACTCGAACATTATTATAACCCAACCATCTCTTTTTATTAAAAAATGACTAATGTAATTTTTTAAATATGTTGGAAAGAAACTTATTCTCAGGATGTAATATGGAAAGGAAATGTAATCTGAAGATCGAACTTTGCTCGACCATACATAAATCGGCAATAGGTCCGGGATGAAGATGGAAGTTTCCACTTTAGCTCTTGGTAAATTTTTGAACAAATCTAAGAAATCACGGATTTCATGCGATGGAGGACATGCAAGAGAAATATTTCTCTAGCGCTTGAATGAGACGATGAAGATGGGGGGCTCTGAAAACACACCAAATTAGGACACGTGGAGGGCTGATGTGACATTAAATTAAACTATCTTTAAGTGACACATGTCATCATTCTACTTAATCAACTCTCAAATTTTATATTAAAGGATTAGTAGTCTTTAGTAATATTTTATATTTAATGTAGTTTAGGGTTTGGTTACTTTAGTGCGGGCCCGAGCCCATTAGGTCAACTATCGTAGCTTTATTATCCCTATATTATAATCCTTCTGCAATATTCAAGGAATCAATAAAGAAATATAAAAAATATCTCCTCCTCTATTCTCTTGGAGTACTGAAGCTCTAGAAATTTTTGCCTCCCCTTTCTTGCGTGACGAGTGCGAGACAAGATAGAAGTAGCGCCGATCACTTCTCTTTCCTCTTCTCTCTGCGGAAATCATCCATTCCACTCTCGCCGTCAATCAACAATGCTCTTTCGCCGCGATCGCCGGCTACCATCTCCGACGCTCAGGTACCCCCACTCCATCTCTTGTTTAATTGCTTAAAAATCACCCTATGTGCATACTTCGATCTCATCGATGAATAATCTTATGAGGAATTTACCTAAATAGCACTAAAACATAATGACTTTTCCTAAATAGCACTACATATGTTTTTCTTCCCAATGTAGCACTTTTAGTCATTATGCATTAGTCATTATTCAAGCAAAATTTCGCCATCACTGGACATTATGGACATTATAAGTGCTATTTAGAGAATAAAACAGTTTAAGTGCTATTTAGAGAAATGACTTAAGTTTTAGTGCTATTTAGTGCAAATATTTCTAATCTTATTTGTTTGATGTTTGGCCTCCATCTTTTTCTTCTTCTTCATTCTTTAATTTGATGTTGGACTATTTTCCCTCTTTTGGATTTACCTATGTTATTGTCTCTTTTAAACAATCTTATTTGTTGTTTGATTGTTTAATTTGCTTTCTTTAGAATTTGATTGGGCTAAATTTACCAAAACACATTTGATTGTGTTTGGAATATTAATATTTATAAAAACCAAAAATAAAATATATTGAGTTGAAAAAAACATTGAGTGATTAAAATATATAAAAAATGTAAAGTGAGTCCGTCATAATGATGTGCCACTGCAAGGCACACTACTTCAATGCCATGCTACCGTGTGGTTAGATTAAATTTAAGGACCGTGCTACACACCTCCCACCCTTGCTACTAACCTTGCCTCCACTCACTTCTCCACCACATATTTATCTCTACCAATTCTTCATCCACCCTCTAATTTTAATTTTCTTACCTCCCTACCACATGTTTATGTAGGGGACCTTCCTACCACATGTTTATGTAGGGGGCATGGTTGGTAATAAGGGTGGAGTTTTTTTTAGCATTTTCCAAAATTTAATTAGTTAAACAATATATGACTTGACATTGTTGGTGTAAGGGTATATGTGTGTACTTATGAGGTGGCATTCCTTCGTATATGACTTGCCATTATCTGGTTCCAGTCGACCATTCCGGTAGCTGCTAGCGCGGGCCCTTTGATAGCAATGGCAAAAGTGAAATATACAGGCGTTCCCACCTCCCTCCCCGGATCCAGTAGAACTCAACGATGAGTGCCGTCGACGTTGCGCCTCTCTTCGTTTCCAGATCCGGCGCCGGTATTCTGAGTCACACCTGCTTCTCACGAACCGCCAATCTCCTCCCGCTCGGCCGGAAACATGCACCGATCACTGTTCCTATGATCGTCTTCGGGAAACCCGTAGCCGCTCGAACAACCGTGACAGCTGCTTCTCTGAAAGAGGAGAGAGCTTCGGCGACGGAGGAAAATGAGACCCCGGTGAGAATTATAGCTCTTGTCGGCGATGGTAGTGTCAGCCCCCTCAAGTCCGTTCCTTGGCGTGACGTCATGATCCACACCGTGAGTGCACCTTCCTATTTCCCCTGCAGTAGAATCTCTTTCCATCACTCCTCCCTTGAACTTGTGAATTATTTCTAAGCTACCTGATTTTATTGCAGGCATATGGAGGGCATTTCTTCTTCATGTAACTTTTTAAAATTCTTCCTGTGTGATTAAATTGAAGAGTTTGATTGATGTTGTCCTCGCTTGATATTGTTTAATTAGTCTAATTGATGGAAACCCTACTTGTCTTGGTTGTGTGATGTATGTTAATCCTTTCCTAAAAAGGTTCTGGATTTCACTTGGCATGGTTTTTAAGAATCCGAAACTTAAATAAGAACCATATTTTGGGGATGAACTAAAAACTTAGTAGAAACCTTTTTTTTCCGGGGGGGAAGAGAGTATTTATTTGATACTTTAGAATTGATTTGATATGCAATGGCTATTTGGCAGTTTGGCTGACTTGTTGGGACTTTAGAGATTGATTGTAAAGTTCCCAAGAAGATCATAAAAGTGAGATAACATTTTTTGTGTGGTGATGAGGACATGAAGTTTATATAGTTGTGCTTCTCTGCGACTTCATTGCCTTTTTAGTTCACCTTCTTTGGTACAGTCCTCTATATATGCATGATGCTGCAATATCTAACTTTCATATTCCTTTGCCTAATGCCTTCAGTTGTTTCTCTCTCTCTCTCTCCATTTCTCCCTCCCCCCTCCCCCCCTCTCTCTCTGTCTCTCTCTTGCTATGCAATGCATTCACACACATTAATGAAAACAAATCTGAATTCAGTTTGTGATTTATTTAACCTTTAAGATTATATGTAACATTGGTGCTCCTCGTATAAGAAGTTAAGAACTATATATTCCATGCAGGCACAGAGATTGAAGTTGGTTGATGAACATTATGAAATGCTTGTGTTTAACGACAACTTTTATCAATCTAATGACGAGAATGTGAAACATGTTACAGAGGAAGTGCACCGAGCAAATATTTTGGTGGTTGTTGCAGTTATGAATGGGGAAACAGTCAAATGGATTCAAGAAAATGTTCATTTTGTCCAGAATGTTATTTGTTTTGAGTCATCTTCCGCATTAAGAAACAAGCTGGGAGGACTAACTATTGAAGTTGAGAATAATACATTTAGAAGGTTAGCTCAAATATCTCAATGGAAAAAACTAGAGGAATCAAGAGAAGTAGCCCAAACAGTGTCTTCAGCTTGGGAGAAGTACAATTCTGATGGCATACGCTTTTGTCTGCTAGTTATAATTAATGCTTATATTGCTCCAGTTCCGATACTAAAGAATCTGAGAGCAAAAGGCTTCTCTACCTTAAACTGCATGCTGAAAAACTGTGGACCGCAGATATTGAATTGCCTTATGGATCCTAATTGTAGAAAAGCTCTCCAATGTTTAAACCAGTGCAACCCAGTGGATCAGGTATGCAACTACAGATGCATCGCTTCATACGAGAGTCCATGCCTGGAAGAGTTTTCTCTTTGCGTACTTCAGAAGAACAACTGTCTAGGTCTGGATGCGAAAATCCCTGAAAAACCACATGTGGCCCCGATGTTAGAGTTTCAGGGGGAGATACTGTGTCATGAAACTGCTGAGGACCTTTTTGTGGGTTGGTTGGGGAAATTAGATTGGAGTTGGCGTGTGGTTGCAGGACAAAACCCAGCCTATGATCAATTCCCATGCCAATACCAGTTATTCTATAGAGGAAAAGCAAAGGGTTCATTTTGGTATGAGCCGGTCTTTCAGGTGAGAACAGTTGAAGATAGCCTGGTTTGGAGAAGGCGAAAATACCGAGTGAAAAGGGGAAAAGTCCCCGGGACATTTTACTTCAGTGTCTTGGATAATGGAGTGGTTTCAAAGGAGTTCTGGACGATTGTGGATGTTTGTGAGGATCTAAGCTGGGGCTTGTTTCACTATAGCGGGGCTGCTCGAGTGGCAGGGCAATCATACTCTGGGGCAGTCCTTGTCAGCCCAGATGGTGTATACCCAGATGTGGAACAACACCAGAGATTGATGTCTGCTTTGGATAAGTGTTGTATCAAAGAGTGGGAGCTCTTCATGGTTGAAAATTGTTCATGTCAAGATCCACCTCTATGGCTGCCTGAGGGATATAGTTTACATTGTAGTGTTGAAGTTTAGAGAAAGAAACAATTGTCTATTTAGTGGCCACAGCTCCATGAGATCGGATTAATGCCAGGTGCCAACACCACTCATATAATTTGAGATTTAGGTAATATACTTAGAAGGAGAGTTCTATTGATATAATATAAAAGAAAATGAAAATAATGTTGACTATATCCCTCATTTATGAGTGCATTGCTGAATGCATCATCTCATTTTCCAACTAAAATCTTGTTGTTTCTTAGCCATTACCCTAAGGGCAATAATTAAAATTTTCCAAAAAGAAAACCTTGTGTAATGGATTTTTGTTCTTTCTCATTCCATTTTAAGTAAGACATTGTTAAAATGATCATTATGCCGAACTCTCATTTAGATTTGGTTTATCCGTCTCTCCCATTCACTTGCACATTTACTCTCACAAACAAATGCATTGATTAAAGACTTCATTCACCTCATCCATATTATCAATTTCACCCTTTTTTAATCTTGTTCTGTATATCCATCCATATTCTTTTCTCAAGTCTCTCCCTTCCATTTTTTCACGGACAAAAAGGAACAGGACATGACAGAACCCATTGGTTCCCCAATTCGAAGGGGCAGCTGTCGAGGATTTCATCAAATTTAGTTCTGCAGTTGTGAATATCCTGACATTTCATGTTCAATGCCAAGACAGGGGATCCCTGGATCTATTTCCAGAGGATCCAACAAATATTGCTTACCTGTATGATGTTCTCTGAGGGTGTCGGTCCTCTAACCTGCATCTGAGAAACAATTTACTTAACCTTATGATGTATTCCTAAAGGTTTTGGGCCTCATATGTGCATCTGTGAAGTCTTATTTAACCCTGTGATATTTTTCCTAAGGGCTTTTGGCCTCTAATCTTATGTGCATCTCTAATTAAGGCCAGTGTTTACTTGAGAGCTCTTTGCCAAATGTTCTGCTCTTCTTGTGGTCCAGTTTGTATGAGGTGTTATACAACGATAGCATCTGCACACTTTGCAAGAAGGTATAGTCTGATATGGCATTATTGCTTTATTTGTTGCTTGTTTGATGACAGTGACTTTTGTAGCAAAGGTTTACACTTTTAAGTTTTATAGAGGCTATAAGTAAACAAACTATGAATTCCATTCACATCACACTTATACAATTACATATACACATGCATCATCTTCCCTATGCCCTGAAAATTACCATTTCACCTATTCAATACTTAAATTGTGTAATGGTACATTCTAACCTAACTTTGTACTCCCTTTGTCCCCTAAGATCTTCTTGTTTGGACTTTTTGTGGTTTTTAAGGAGAGTTGAAAAAAGATGAAAGTTTACTATATTATCCTTAATGAAAATGGGTGAAATGTATTAAATGAGGTAGGTGAGGTGTAATAAATAAAGTAAGTGGGGGTAGTTGTGATATTTTAATTGTTAAAAAAGGTAATGAGAAGATCTATTGGGAACAAATAAAAAAGGTTATTATGAAGATCTATGGGGGGCGGAGGGAGCAATTACCAACAATTGTGTAATGGTACATTTCACCTATTCAATACTTAAATTGTGTAATGGTAACTTTGTAATCTTGTTTTAGTAACAATGGTAATGGTATATTCCAACCTAACTTTGTAATTACCATTTTTACCGTTTAAAAAAGAGTATTCAACAACAATTAGCTTTAACATTTTCAAGATTAGTTTGCACTGTTAGAAAGTTATCTAAAATGCTACGTTAGTAGAAAACATTGTTCCCAAACAAGACTTTAAAGTGTTCTAAAAAGTACCAACGGTTAGGGATGTAAACAAATCAAATATTTTAAGTTTGATTCGCGATTCATATTCGAATATGATGATTCGAATTCGCGTTATTCAAATACAAATTCAAATTCAAATACTATTTTTGATTCGAATATTAATCAAATACAAATACAAATAAGGATATATTCGATTCGGATGATATTCGAATATTCGAAGATACACACACACACACACACACACACACACCATATTTTCAACATCAAAAGTCAAACAAAGTAATATAGTATAAAGTGTATTTAAAGTACTAAAAATTCAATAAATTAATGTAAGACGAAAATCTAAAGCATATGATTTTTAATAGTTATATTTTTTAAAATATAATTTACGTAAGACGAAAATGCATTAATATTTTTATATACGGAATATAGTATAGTATAAAGAATATCGTATGTTAAATTACAAATCAATGTTAGTCCATCATATAAATTACATAGCATGATGATTCAAATATTCGTTTATGATTCGATAACTATTCGAATATTAATCAAATACATATTCAAATCTTATTTTGAATTTGTCTCATATTCGGATTCGTATTCGTATTCGAAAAAATTAAACAAATACAAATTCAAATATATCGGTATTCGCTTCGATTCGGTTCATTTACACCCATACCTACGATTAGTCATCTTAAAAGAAAAAAATCAAATCATTTTAAGAAACGAGTAGATTAATTCGTGTAACAGCATCAATACCCTGCAATACACTTGAAGGACAGCCATCAAGCGACACAAGAATTTCAGGCCAAATGATACACCGATGCATTTCCTCTACAATGTTGCACTACCTTTGGTTCAAAAAATTTGCAAGAAAAAGAAAACAAAATAGTTTTCTCTCATTTTGCTCACCAAAATGGGAGTAATTTGATTTTCCCTCCATTGGGTACATTTTGCCTTCTCATTTCTTTTCCTTCCACTTCTCCTTTCTTTTCCCCTCTAACCAAACAACACAAACTATTTTCCACTTCATTTTCTTTTCTTTTCCCTTTCAAATTCCTTGAACCAAACATAGTGTAGAGAAACAACAACAACAACAACAACAAGAATAATAATAATAATAATAATAATAATAAAATCAAGAAGCAATATGAATAAACATGACATCATAAAAGAGAAAGAGCCAACGTTCAGAAAAGAATTTCAGAATTTCTCCCCCTTACGACCAACCATATGTATATATAATACATCTCTCACTGATATAGTGAAGTGCCAATGTGTCATAGCTCTTCTACTCAACCTGGCCTCTTGATTGGAAAGAATTTTAGAAACAAAAAAAGTGACAAAAATGGCAAAGCCAAAAAGCTTCAATATTTTCAACAAGCTTCAACGTGTGTGTCCTAAGTCCTAACTACTGGTATATTTCTTCTCCAACTGTTTCTACTTGGCTATTATTATGTATCCGGAGGGGGGGGGGGACACCAAAGTAGAAAAAGCCAAAGATATTCTACATCTGCAATATCTTGTGCCGCTAATAGAACAGGACGTGTCGGTAACAATACTGTATAGAAGAAGTCTATGATTGATTTTTCACATGAGTGGGAGGTATCCACCACCGTGACCTTTCCTAAGGACAAGAGGTCCCGCGTTTTCAGGGACCTTATCCAATGCACGGTTGCAGATTTCGACGACATCAGGAAACCCGGTGGCAACGGTAGCCAACTGAAGCCGCAGTTTCAGATCCCCAGTCCTTCTCAACAAACACCTAAAAGATTTCCCAAGGTACTTTGCCCATTCAGCTGGGAGTCCACCCCCGGTCAACCACACAGAGAACTGGGACTGATCCCCTCGGGCAGCCACCTCGGCTCTATAGAACCTGGCAAGTTCAAGGAGCATTGAGGATTGGAGAGGGAGGACAGCCACAAACTCAGCAACAAACTGTTCGATGAGCTCTGGTCTAAGCATTTGATTCCAAAGCACAAGGGCCCACTCCCCTGGCTGGTTAAGACCATAGGCTTCAGCAACAATTAGGGCTTCCTGGAAACGGGATTGTTCCACCAGAGCTCGGCGTGCATTGGTTTCAGAGAGACAGAGCCATTGCAAATCTGGCATTCGGATCTGAAGGGACAATAGTGATGCCTGAGCAACGGCCCCATATGTCTTATTGCCAGCATCAATGGAAGAGTAAACCTCAGCAGCTTCAATGAAGTAACGCATGGATGCTAGGAGATCATCAGTCTGATCCTTGTCATAGCGCAGGAACCACTGTTGACGTGAATTCTCTGCCCGAGACACCAAAAGCGATGCAGTTTCATGCTTCATGTCAAAGTGATTATATACCTGAGAGGCAAAGAAAAAAGAGCAACCAAGTTTATAGACAGTATCAAAGTATTCTTCAATAACTATAAACTTTGGACCTAATTTAGTCCTAAACCTAGGAAATTACCCTTCTTAATTACAAAAAAAAAGATTATGACTAAATTGAGTCTAAATCACATAATCAGTGCCCAAATTGAGTTCAAAAGAAGGTTTAGAACCAAATTGAGTAATAATGTATAGTTGAGTGCTAAATTAGATAACTACTAAATTTTTCTTTGCTTGGAAGGAATAGTACAAACCATTGCAAATGCATCGAGATCATTGGGATTAAATTGCTTGAGTGATGTGAGAACTGCCATTCTAAATCCCCTGACAGCTTCTACAGTACCAGCACTTGCATCCACGGCATTTGAAAATTTTTGGAGTAGAAGATCTAGTTGACCATTTTCAATTAGAATTCCGAGAATGAAATTGAGTGAATGGAAATTCCCTACCCCAGTTATCAACCGAGCCAAACATGGAAAATCCCCTTCAGAAACATAAGCTTCTACCCTCGTTGCTGCAAGAGCTACGAGAACATCAACTCCATCAAGACATGCAGATGACTTGTAGAAATGGTGGGACAGAATGAGAAGCTCCACCTGAAATATTAATTTACACTGTTAGACTAATAACAATCAATGTGAATTTAAAGCTCTTTTCTTCTGCTTATTCTTTCTCCTCCAAAAATGGAGGTCAGAGAGAAACCAAAATAAGTGGTTACCACATCTCTGTGTTCAGATAATTAAGTTACATGCATTACCAAGTAAAGGTGTCAAATAAATTTTATAGTCAATTCCTTAAAGCCCCCTCCCCCCCCCCAAACCGGCCATGAGTTAACAACAGTCCTCTACTAGAATCAGAGGTAACGTTGTTGGAACATCTTTCCCTAACTCTGGCATGATGTGTAG